CTCAAAGATATGAAACTTCACGTAGCCTTCTGCCAAAAACTATTGGCCAGGAAACGAATTATAGATTCACGAGACCAAAGATCACCTGTTAGGTTTATACAAGACGAACTATATCTCATGTTTAACCACTACAGAGACGTCCGAGTCAGCGGCAAACATCAGAACGACTAGCCGAGGAAAGGCTGTTCCAGGCGGGGGACACGAGCGCAAGCGTCCGGTGATCGCTTGGAATGGATCTCAGTCAAATGATCAAAAATCTATAAATAAACCACAGATTTGATCTTTAAAAAAACGACTTTCTCGCCTGAAAAAGTCTTAAAACTACATTTCGTGACACAATAACAGTAGAATTATATTTCAACTGTATGCGCCCTTGTAGCACGCGCGAGTGACGATACTCCGTCCACCAATCACCGTTCTGCAATGAGTCTAGCTCCACCTTTTAGTACCGTTTCACTGTGCTAGGTACCCCAACGGAAGGGTACCCAAAAAGTGGTACGGTACGGTTCGGCTTTTTGGTACTATTCACAACTTTTGACAGTGGAAACGCAAATAATTGCGTACCGAACCGAACTGCGTACCGTACCACTCAGTGGAAACGAGCCATTAGTTTGCTTTCAAACTAATTCTGGTGTGGTTTGACTGATGTACTGCAACGCAGGGATACACCGAAATTTGGGCAACTATAAATATGTGGCTCAAATTTCCTGGTTTGGCCATTATAGTGCCCAAATGGAGGACCGAAATCATTCTCCTTCATGCACACGTCGATAACAGGTAAACACGTCAGCTGTGTGGATGCACTTCACCGTGACCAAATATTACGCAGGAGTAGCAATATGTAAAATGATTAAATTATTAAATTTGACTTAAAGGTCAAGAGGTGGCTCGTTTCCGAAAAACTTTACTACAACTGATCCATTTTCTCAAATTTAATTCAAACGATTAGATAATTCAAAATGAATAATTTATCGACATTCAGATACAGACTTTGAAGCGTATTTTGTGTTTTGTTAAAACAGCAATGCAACTGAATGTAAATCTTGAAGAGCTCATTGCAATTTTTCAGTGTTGCTGTGGACCTCCTTGCCTAAATAAAACATCCTTAATGTATTAATGCTTGTGTGACAACAATATGTGTTTGTTTCCACTGAGGACAAGTATAGATCCTACAAATGTCAATTTGACTAATAAAAGGAGGCTCTGTTCTCTAGTCAAACCTCCCCTGACCCAAATTTATGTGTTATGTAGTCACTGGTTTTAGGGGATTTTAATACTGTGATTTAAGACGGGCTCTATTGATGGGACAGGGCACTCTATGTCAGTCCAGTCAGGGTAAAGTCATGAGAACTGCGGCACAGTCACTTTGCTCTTCCGGATCTACTGGGAGCCGAATCTCGTCCGGCCTGGGAGCCAAAATAACAAAAGCACTCTGGAGGGTTGAGGTTTCTCTGCACACCGAACATTAATCCATTGAGAAAACAAGCAGATGGGATGATGGGTAGACTAGACTGTTGAATACCGCAGTTTTGCACTCAAAGGCCAACGTGATTCAATGCACTGATGATCGCTCTACTGTTCATGCCAAAAATGTCTCTCCAAGGAGAAAATAAATTCTTTCTGGTCTATTTTCATCACCATCATTATCAACTATTTGAACGGCATTTTAGATGGAATAGGGTAGAAACCCTAATGTAGTTTTTTTTTAGAGATACATTCTTAACACTTGATTTGATATCTGAAAAGGACTCCTTCCACCATTATATAATCAATCAGCTCTGAAACAGGATAACCCACTCACCATGCCCGCGCATGTGGACAGGGCCACATATGAGTTGACCTTTGACCTCAGCACCCCATGGTAGAAGCAGAGGTCGTCCTGTGGAAAAGGCTGCAGGCTCTTGGTGCCGCTCCTGCCCAGGGTTTGTACAGTGAAGCTGGGTGCCATCAGGTCATGTGACGGCTGCAGGTCCAGGTGGAAGTCCTGCCCTAATCCATGGAACCTAAAGTGAACAGTGGGGTCGTGACCTTGACCATCTGTAGAGCGTTTCCTCCTGTGCTGGTGGGCCACGGCATGGGAAATGTAACGTCCTTGATGGTCCACCTCATATGGGGCCACAATCTCATATTCTACATAGGGAGGAAGTTCAATGCATTATTTCATGTAATCTGAAATATCTGCATACACTTTTTGTCTTTCATTGTTTAGTATTTATTGAAAACATTTTTTTTTTCTGAATAGAAGCATATTTATATGTGATGTTAAATGCAAATAAGAATAATGCATCACTAGTTTTATTATGCATTATGTTTATTTTGAAATAGTTCAACCCACACAATACAAGTGCAACCCACACTATACATTGCAAGATTAAAGGAGTAGTAACTTTTGCTGATAATTTACTCACCTCCATGTCATCCAAGATGTCCATGTTTTTCTTTCTTCATTTGAAACGAAATTAAGGTTTTTGATGAAAACATTCCAGCATTTTCTCCATATAATGCACTTCAATGGGAACCAAACAATTCAAGGTCCAAATGAGAGTTTCAGTGCAGCTTCAAAGGGCTTTAAACAACACCAGACGATGAATAAGGGTCTTATCTAGGACCCTTCGAGTCATGACTCGAAAAAAAAGATTTGTTCATTTTGATGAACGAGTTTGAACAGGAGAGTCACAAACACTCCTCACAGAAAAGAGCAAGGCGAGGATTTGTGCTTATAAAACTTAAACTTTTTTATATATTTTTTAAATGACCAATCGTTTCGCTAGATAATACACTTATTCATCATCTGGTGTCGTTTAAAGCCCTTTTAAGCTGCACTGAAACTTTCATTTGGACCTTGAACTGTTTGGTTCCCAATGAAGTCCATTATATGGAGAACATCCTGGAATGTTTTCATCAAAAACCTTAATTTCTTTTCGACTGAAGAAACAAATACGTGGGCATCTTGGATGACATGGGGTTGAGTAAATTATCAGCAAAAGTTTTTTTTTTGAAAAGTGAACTACTCCTTTAAGTTGGGAAGGACAAAACTGTTTAAAAATGAGAAATAATGCAAATACAAAAAATAAAACAAACAACTTTTTTTTTAAGTCTAATTTAAGACTATTATTTTGGTTTGCCAGATAAAGTATAAATGTATGGCTGCAGTTTTTTATAGTCCAAATACAGATCTTGGAAAGAACTAAGAACATTTAAAAGCCATTTATCATTTAATGATTCAAATCAGGGGGAAAAGATTATTGTAAATATATATATAATATATATATATATATATATATATATATATATATATATATATATATATATATGAAGAGTTCAGATGCAAAAGCCTCTAAATGCCATTTGAAATTTTCTTCTAAAATGACCATTTTTATCAAGCTTGTATATTTAAGTTCAGTAATTTCACTTAAATGACAATTAATAGGTAATCTTCATTGCCATTTAAGTGAAATTACTGAACTTAAATATACAAGCTTGATAAAAATGATAATTTTAGAAGAAAATTTCAAATGGCATTTAGAGGCTTTTGCATCTGAACTCTTCATATATATATATATATATACAAATGCAAGCAAATGTGATTTATTGGAAGAACATGTCAAGATGCTGCTCATGGGGCGAAGGACATGTTTTAATGTTGTGTGATTCTGACCTCTACATACACTCACGCTCCTCTCATCCTCGCGGTGGTCTGGTGGCTCGAGTTATAAATGCTTTTACAGACATGAGCAGACAGATTTATGGTCTCTGACCGTAGAGACACACACTGATGACACATACTCTAACGCTCCGCTGTGATATGGAGACACACGCTCTCACCGTCTCTCATTCTCTTTCTCTCACACAAACTTGCGCGCACACACACGCTATTATATCAGGCTACTTCAGTCTCTAAGCTCATGCCAAACAGTGCAGAGACTCTTCACAGGATAAAGGCAGTAAGTGCACACAGAGACTGTTTGTAAAGCTTGGCTGATTGATGGAGAGCTTCTTCAAGTGTCTGTCTTTGTTCATTGTTCACTAAGTCCCAGTGCATGCCAATCTTTATGCCACACACCCCCACTTTCTGTGTGTGTGCATGCACCAAATTGTCCACAGAATCGACATACAAAACTCACTTTCGGGGACATCTGGGGACACCCTTGTTTGGATTTTTTTTTATTTTTTTTATTTATATATGAAATAAACATGTTTTTTTTTATCTTCAATTCAAGAGGTTTTCTTTTAGGAGAGGTTAGTCTGTATCCAAACCCTTGGATTAGTATATGTATTGATATAAAAACTGCTATTGTGTTATTGTTTTTAGTATATATTCAAAACTAGTTAAATGTATTTGCATGTGTGTGTCAGATTCTGTCTACTCCAAATGTCACCTCAAGAACATTCAAACCTGAAATCGCCTATACAGTACATTATTTTTGTATTGGTTTAAATTTTTTTTACTACACAGTTTATTACTTTTATTATAGTGTGCATTTGTCTCAGATCAATTAGGATATCTAGCGCCCCCTGGCGACGAAATCCCATCTAGTCAATTTCCTTCAAAACCATGTTTCTTTCTTTTAATTTTAAACGAAATTCTCATACAAGTCAACATTAATGATGCAATATTAATAAATTCCTCACATGCCCCATGAAATGAAACAATAATAATAATGCGACTGACAGCTGTCAATCAAATCGGACAGGTATGCTCTCACCTGTGTTGTGAGGTAAGCGCAGTGTTTCCAGCAGAGGTTTATGCTTTACACGAGGTCCAGCATGAAGGCTTGCAGATGCACAGGAAGTTCTCTACATGGATAATAAACAGTGAACATGCATCATTTGCAATGCAATTAAACGCAATCACTTTGAAGAAACAAGCGCGTGTTTGCTCACCTGGTGGCATCCGAGTATGAAAAACAGAATGAAGAGCACAGAACAGACTGATGAGGGATAATTCCTCACTGATGGCACAGGGCGCAGGCAAACCATGTCTCCTGCAGACTCCTATCCAAAATCTGCAGCGAACTGCCTCTGCGCCTCTCCAAACGCGCGCTCTCCGCTGAAACACTGCACGCTCTTGTGCACTTAAAAATCTATTCATACAGCATCAGTGAAGTTCCTTCGAATCAAACGCGATACTGAATCCATGATATGTATCCTGCAAGTGTATTTCCAGATCCAACAGCATTTTGGAGAGGTTTCTTTTCTTCCTGCGCATTAGTGGCGTGTGATTGAGGATAAGTGTGCCATTCTTAATGCAGATGTTCTCCGCTCAGTGCGCTTTGAGTAAATGTCTGGAGCGGCTCGAACGCCGGTGTGATTCACACGCGCTTCCAAACAGCCAATCGCAGCTCGCACCTGTGCGCAAGAGCCCTTGGTTCCCGATGAGAGGAGGGTCGAAACACTGTAAACAAGTAAACCCACTAACAGCAATTTCTGCGCTAGTTTTTAATCAAATTAAAGGTGTTGTAAAGTTTGAAGTCGCTACTAATTCAAAATGGGATGTTCTTATTTTTATGCACATTATCAGAATAATTATTATTTGAAAGTACATGTTTTTTCTTTTGCAATCTTTAACCAAATTAGCCAATCCCCCCCTTCCACTTGAAACAAAATCTATTCTTTTCACCGATGATGCGATTATGAGGGCAGGACAACCTGTCACTCACAACAATAAATCAAATAGCAAACCAAAAACATTTAAACCATTCAATCAATTCCCCATGGGCAAAATCAAATCTCATCCTGAATTTGTATCTTGTTCCAGAAGCCATTTCAGTGCTATATGTCACAATAGGAATAGCAATAAAACACTATTGCAATTTTCAATTTTCTGATGATCAGATATACCTAGAGCCAGTGTTTATTAATTTTTATATCTTTTATTTTAAGTTGGTCATTTTAAGATTACTGTTGGAGTCAAATAGGCTACAATTAATATTCCGATATGTTTTTTTTTTTTTTTTAATTTTTAAAAGAACAATTTTTTCCTTGGTGTGAAGAACATTTTAATAATCTTTTTTTTTCTTCATCATAAAGAACCTTTTGTGCATTAAAAAAAGTTCCTTTAACAAATATGTTAAAGGGGCTGTATGTAGAATTCAGTAACACTTGTTATTAGCCACACCGGTGGCCATTAAGTGAACAGCAGCCAACGACTTTTTTTCTCATGCTTGCACTCATGCACATGTAACGTACAAGACTAAATGTGATTCAATGCCCTGACATACTCACGCAGGGACGGACTGGGACTAAAAAACGGCCCTGGACTTTAACTAGGCCCAGCCCAAAGCAATCGACATGCAGAAACTCGACAACAACAACAATAACGCCTGCTGCCTGGCATGAGTGTCACAACAAGACTTTAATTGTGGCTCATATACCATCCAAATGATAGCTAAACGAATATTATACAATCTATTCCATGCTGGAATACAAATGGAAAAATGGAATTACAAATGTAACTTCTGTATTCAAAATCTTCAAAGGTTGTTAGCATTAACTGCAGGGTTCCAGACTGTGACCAAATTTTTTGAGAATGTGCGAATTAAAATTGTATGTGGTCGCATATGTGCGAGTGGACACTAGCGCAACAGAACCGCGTTCGTATCAGCTGCTGCAGTCCGTAACTCATGTTCAAAATGAACGAGTAGGCTACATCATGAATCCATTTGTCAAACCGTGTTTTAACTTATCCTGAATCACTACGGTACGCCTATAAGAAGTGTTTATATTCAGACTATTTTATCCCGGGGTCGACTCGGATGCGGAGTTGCCCAGTGCCCGCGTGACTCACCATAGACATTAATAGAGCGAAGTAGCTCCGGTACAGTGTTGTTCGTGCAGTTTATTTATTGACAAACATAGACGCCACGCGCATTGCACACTGATGGTGGAACGCGGCAATTACGGATTCACGAATCAGATCATCGTGAATCAGATAATCAGATGATAGATAAAGCCGGCAAAAGTGTGTAATATGCACCTGCAGAACATGTTTATGTATTGTGGTGGATTACGCCATTTTTCATTTTTCATTTTTCGCCAATGAGGTTTTCAGTTTTGAAAATCATAGTATAGTTTATTAATACATCAAGAGCTCAGGGAAAATTAGATTCCTAATGAAATCTAAGCATGTAAGTCCACGTTTATTTAAAGTCCATAAAAGTTGGGTTTTTAACCGGATTCATTTTTTTTTTATTGACATTCAGCTTAATGTATTAGGGCACAGATAATGGAAACATTAATGTTTTAAAATATTTTACACTATAATTTTAGACAAATAGATAGAGATATCTAGATATGAATTACTATCCTGTAGAAATTAGGCACTTTAGAGATACTAAGCTCAGCCACTACAGCATGTGGACTATTAAATTCCCATTATGCCAGGGTGCTGCATGCAATATAACACAATAAGAAACAGAATATATTTCCCTATACAGTAAGACCTCCCAAATGTAGACAGCACACTTTACAGCCATTTTCTTTGCCATATCTCACTCTCACATAATACAAAAGAGAAAAAACAAACAAACACTTGGTTCTGAAACTGCTCCTTGTGTTTCAGAAGTTTCCTCAGCACACTATGATTTCTTGACGCTGTTCATGTCCTGTAGAATAATGGCCACTGCAGGCAGTAAAAAATCTGTCTTGAGTCTAAGATTGCTATGAAATACAATGGCTGCATCCTTTTTTTTACATATAAAGTCAATGGCCATGCATAATGTGTGTTTTCTATATGCTACACTTTGTTTTCCGTTTTTGAAGAAAAAATGCCTTGGTTGTCATAAAACAATGTAACGAACAGAAAGTTTATCAAATACTGTACATATGGAACACTGATCACACTATATAAGTAATATTTCTCAGATTGTTATATATACTTTAAATTGTTACTGAAGTAACCAAGTAGTTCATCAATGTTTTCAGCCAGTAGGATGGTGTATAGGTCAGGAAACAGGAATAAAGACTTTTTTTTAATTTCTTTTCTTTCAACTGTACTGAGCTCCAGGAGTACTCATCGGCACAATATCCAGCATTGTCATTATAGTCTGATAAAGAACAAATAAATCACAATTGGGACTGTCATCTATAGGCTACAGTACTTAAATCACTATGCAACATGAACAATAAATCCACACACACAGAATACAAATCAGGATAATCAAACATAAATATCTCAATAAACATTGCTAAGCCACTTTGAACATAGTCTACAATTACATAAGGGGATATCACTCTTTGGAAAGATATAAAGAGAATCACCTATCTCACTGACCAGTTTACATTACCGACTACTGTATATTAAAAGGGGGTTAACAGAAGGAGCAATGGCGACACCCTCAGGTCAGACAAGGCTACCACACCATAGCGTCCGCACATGGTGTCCTGAGAACGATATTAACTCTTCTTAACTCATACATAACTTCGACATCAGAAGACTCACACCAGTTAATATATTATTTCCTGCAGTGTTTACAGCATGAAGATTGTTCTAACACTAGAAATCTCACTCATCACACAGGTCACATTAATGCATGGTAATTTACAATATAGAAACATAAACACAACAAAGTGACAGTCACTTACTTTTTGTCATTAACTCAACACACATGGAATATTGGAAGCTGGATCATTCAAGATGAACTAAAGAGGCTACTCAACACAGGTACGTGGGCTAAACTATGCTGTTAAACTTGAAAGTTGAAACATTTTCGTCACCACTATAGCTGCTACACTTCCTCTACCATAAGCACAGAAGAAGCATCTTAAAGCGCCAGACACCCAGAAATGTCAGAGCCTTTTATACAGCCGCCCCCACATTTGCAAGCACATTTGCTTCCCTTAAAAGGCTTATTAGTCAGGCTGAGGGGGGCTCATAAAGGCATCGTCCTCCCCAGATGGGAGAACTGGCAACATTACCAACCGAGCTACTGGTCGAGTGTACACATGTCCTCCGATGTCCACATCAGCGGATCTAATGCACCCATCGTCACTGCGGTGAATCTTGGTCACATGTCCAATGGGCCACAGGGCTCGAGGTAGCTGTGGGTCCACTAGCATGACAACAGCCTTATCTTGGAGTTTAGGAGAAGAGGATTGCCATTTCTGTCTGGTCCGCAGCCCAGGGAGATATTCTCTGATGAATCTGGACCAGAATTGATCAGCGAGAACGTAAATGTTTCTCAGGGTTGGTACCTCGTAGGTCACAGGCCTATGTTTGTAACTCAAGGAGTCGGTTACCCAATTCCAGCTGAGACAGAGATCCCAAAAGATCCCTGAGCCAATCCACCAGCAGTTTGGCTTCACCTGGTGTACACATGCTCTGCAGGCAGTCATCAATGTAAAAGCAGTTCTCAACCGAGAATCTCTAGTCATCGTCCGGCTGGCAGTGGTCAACAACATGGCGATGCAGGGTACATGTCGCACAGCACGGGCTGCAGGTTGCGCCGAAAGGCAAAACTTGCCACTCAAATGTTCTTGGGGGCTCTTCAACTTTCAGGTCCCACCACAGGAACCTTAGAAGATGGCGATCTTCAGGGATGAGGCGGACTTGATGAAACATCCCCTTAATGTCTCCACCAACCGCTATGGGATGTTCACGAAATCTCACAAAGACTCCCAGCAAGGGGCACCAAGGGTATGGTCAGGTAGCAGGTACTGGTTCAGGGTCTACCCAAGGTACTGTTGAGAGCAGTTAAAGACAAGGTGGTTATTTCCGTTGTGGCTGATGAGATGATGTGAGATGTACCATCCTTCTTTGGTAGAGGTCTCCTCAGTGACCTTCCTTCACAGCACCTGCTTTAATGAGCTTCTGCATTTCCTTCTTGTATGCTTCAGCTAGCTTGGGGTCCTTTAAGAGTCACCTCTCAGTCCTACGTAACATGGGTATAACTGACTCCTTTGGAGAGCGCAGAGGTTGCATGCTTGCATGGTGCAGCAATGGTTTGCCGTACCTGAGAATTCCATTTATATTAGTACGGACAGTCAGAGCCTCTCAACATGTTTGTAAAGCTCATCTATTGGTGGCGTTTTCCCTTTCTTTTATGTTGCGTCCAGTAGCCTGACTGTCGAAGCCCTGACACCATGATTCATAGTGGAGCCATTCTGCCAGATCATGTAGAGTGTGGGTCCCCCCCAAACTGCTTGAACCGATGTCAACAAAAATCAGCTCAGCAGACAAGCAACATGTGAGCCACAGTTGAGTTTGATTTCCCCTTCAGGACCCAGAGTCCGCAACAATTCCACTAAAGATTGTATCTGGAGAGAGAACTTCTG